TATGACTGCCTGTGTGTTGTGTGTGTCTGTGTGTATGACTGCCTGTGTGTGTTGTGTGTGTGTGTATGACTGGCTGCCTGTGTGTATGATTGTCTGCCTGTGTGTGTGACTGTCTGCCTGTGTTGTGTGTGTTACTGTCTGCCTGTGTGTGTGTTGTCTGGTGTGTGTGTGTGTGTGACTGCCTGCCTGTGTGTGTGTGTGTGTGTGTGTGACTGCCTGCCTGTTTGTGTGTGACTGCCTGCCCATGTGTGTGTGTGTGTGTGTGACTGTCTGCCTGTGTGTGTGAGTGACTGTCTGCCTGTGTGTATTTGTGTGGCTGTCTACCTGTGTGTGTGTGTGTGTGTGTGACTTCCTCCCTCTGTGTGTAGATGGCTTCCTGTGTGTGTATGGCCGTCTGCCTCTGTGTGTGTGTGTTTGTGTGGCTGTCTGTGTGTATGTGTGTGGCTGCCTGTGTGTGTGACTGTCTGCATGTAAATATGTTTGTGCAAGACTGTATATGTGGCTGTGTGTGTGTGTGTGTGTGTGTATGTGTAAAACTGTATGTGTGGCTGTGTGTGTGTGGCTGTCTGCCTGTGTGTATGTGTGGATGTCTGCCTGTAATTGTGTGTGAGTGTGTTTATCTACCTGTAACTGTGTATGTGTGTTACTGCCTGTACCTGTGTGTTTCTGCCTGATCCTGTGTATGTGACTATCTGCCTGCGACTATGTTCCTTTGGTGGATTTGACAGTGTGTATGTATAACTGTGTGCATCTGACTGTTGGACTGTGTGCGCATAACTCTGCAAAAATATACACCTGCATTCACACACAGGCCTAAATGCATGTTTTTATCTGCATTAAATAACCATCACACACAGCCAATAAACCCAGCACAAATATCACATACAACCAATACACGCATATCACACACTGTTAATACACACATTACAAATATCACACACAGCCAACACATAGCATACATATCACACACAGTCATCACATCTATCACATACACAGACAGACAACATAAACATTACATCATACATGGATGACGGGGGAGCGGGAGGGCACTGTGAAGATTTTTTGCACAGGGCGCCTAAAGGCCTAAGGCCGGCCCTGCTCCGTATAGTTGTATTTATTGCCGTATAGTGCTTCAAGGCCGGGAGAGCATCAAGCGTGCGACTAATCTTGTTGGGTGCTAGCTCCGCCCCCTTCCCATTTTTTGTACTTTGACTAGTTACCTTGGTCTTATGTCAGGACAGTCTTTTGTCGGGCTGACCCTTGTATATAACACACTGTAATTTAAATGCACATGATTTCATTTGCCTCATATACATTTTTATTATTATATGATCCTTTTTTTTATTTTTTTTACTAGAAGTTCTGTTTTCTTTTAAAGTGTACCTGCTGTGAAGATATGAAATCTCTCCCATATACATTGTATACATCATATGTCACAAGATACATGGTGTATGCAATATAAAATATAAATATTTACTCACCTTTCCTCCATTCCAGCGCTGCTTCGCTGGTGTTATTCTTTCTGTTATACCCACCTCCTGGCCGTCCTCCGCTCTGCATTCGCTCCTCTTAAAGTTTTTGACCTGCTTGGGACGCATTCTAAAGCAGTGCAAATGTTGTCAGTGATGTTGGCACGCTGGCTTTGTTGCCAGCATGATGACGTCAGAATGGAGTGACATCACGTCACTCCATTCTCATACATCATAGCCAGTGTTAGAAGAGACGGCTAGAGTGTTTTCATAGCAACCTATTGTTAAATAGGTATTACTCCTAATCTTTACTTTTGCTAGCAAAACTGCAAGCACAATGTAGAGATAAAATGTTATGCACAATCTAATGAGCATTAGTTGTTTGGGGCGAGAAAGGTGCCCTTTAGATTTATATTAAAGATTTCACAAATGACATAATCCTGTTCAGACAGTACAACGCATAAATACATATTTGTCAAATAAAGGGATAAGTAAACATGGTAGTAAAAATCCTGGGAAGTAACAGTTCCCCTTTAAACTACCCTTTCAAAAGCAATGCCGTTCACTCGTTTACCCCCTCTCTGTTCCCCTTTACCAACTTCTGGTTGGTATGATTGTATGTGTATGAAAACATTTACTTCTCACTGGACAGAAATGCCTGAGAGTGAATGTAGTTTCTGTGCTCCCGACATGCTGGACCTGGTGCTGTAACTCACTCTATTATTGGAATGAGTCTATTAGAATTAGGAAATACTAGGCTTGTTGCTTCTGAGAAATCATATCCCCAGCACCTGGGAAAACGATCAAGTTTCCAGTCCTTTCTCACTCTTCTCAGGGTCTATATTTGCTAAAGGATGAATAAGCCAATGAATACATTAATATTATCAAGCAGAGACAGACGCCAAGCAGCTTCATTTACTGAAGAGTAAGGAGCAGAATATGTGGCAGAAAGAAATTACTATCTACTACTTAGATTATTTGCCTCTTTTTATCAAGTAGAAAATGCTTAGATTTACTGGTAAAGGAACGTTGTTACTAATTAGGGGCCTCACGTCATTCATACAAGAAATATGGGACAAATTTGTTTTCTTTTTTTTTGTTGGACAAGTAAATATATTGTCATATAAAGGTGAGAGTCAGACTGTACATTCAGGAGAAAGAGCGTTGCTAAAGCCAAATACAGCCTAGGCTTGTGCCCAAAAATAATTTGTTACCCCCTGCCTAAAATCCCACCAATAGCCCCTCTCTAAACTCCACCCTTTAACACACCTCTCTCAACAAACTGACAGTTACTTACAGACAGGCACACACAGATATACAGTGAGGGGAAAAAGTAT